TAATGTTTGATGCCCCATCTGCAGCAGACCCAATGAAGTTGTTCAATGGTATATCATGTGTAGTGAGGGACTGTAATAGCATGTTATATAATTATTTTCACCAGTCTAACCTTGATTACCTTCAAATACATTAATCAAATCCGGCATCGCGATTTTGTCATTATCTCTCCAGATCAAAATACTTCACTATCATTGCACATGATTTACTTACTGAACAGCCGGTATTTTCTTCAATAATTACACTAAATTTATTTGTAGTTTCCTAACCAAGTTTTGAGTTGCACATTCCCCTAAAGCTTGCACGACGACCTTGCACCTGGTCCGTTTCGTTGCCGTTTGAGCGGCTGTCTTGGAATCGGGAACATTCGCTTATTGAGGTCACAAGGTGGTCACATGAGCTCAAAGGAATATTACAAATATCAGGCTATACTTGCAATTGGAGATAGTGAGATTACATTATAAGGGCCTGTGCCTCTTATAACAATTTACTTTATTACTTACAACCATTGGTAGCGTGACGAGAGGAGGCTCATGGGTATATGTAATGATAGTATCAAGTAATAGGGAAGAAATAACGGTAGATACTGTAGGTAAATAATAGACACAATATACAAATACAATATTTATTTAAACATTAAAATGGAGGTAGGGGAAAGTTATATGTACCAACAGACGAAACCTGGTACTATGCCCTCAGGCTCAAAATACTCACACCACTACTGGGTGGACATATTCAATAACACACAACCTCGTAGAGTAACTTAGCACCATTAAAACCAGGGGCAACTGCCACTACAACACTCAGTCGACAGGAGTGATACTCAAGCAACCACCATGGGGTACCTCCCAACGAACTCTGAAGATCCCAGTGGAATAAGACAACCACACAAATAGCCCTACTGAGCTAGACACTCATCCACCAATGATGGGGGCTGGTAGCGGTGTGTGGCTTGGTGATCCGGGGTCACCTCGCAGGCCGAGCGTTAGGGTCAGACTGGCCAGCTATGGGGCCCATAGGTAGTACTGAAGCTTCTGACGGTCGGGCCTCACGAAGATAAATGATCCTACTGGACCTCAGACATCTCTCCAGACTAGTGGATGCAACATCCACGCTAAAGACACGGTCTAGGCTGCGTTAGGGACCTGTGTGGGTGAAGGGCCGAGCATTTACTAACTGTGACAACGATATCACGTTTCAGGGGACGTTAAAGACGTAAACATTACTTCACTCAAAGCATATCAACTACGTTACTGTAACACTTGCACAATCAACTATTAATTGGGTCAAATCACTTAAAGAATGGCGAATTACAACACGGAGTGGAATGACCTACCTGTGTGGGTGAAGGGCCGAGCACTTACTAACGGTTGAAATGCCCGCGGCACCCTCACTCAAACTAGGTCAGGGATTCCACCTACTTCTATTTCGATGAATTACTTCACTGTACACTCTGACGTTGAAACTGAGACTACGAACTCAGTTTCATTCCCTACTATTATATTCACAAACAATGCTCTGACTGAGCTATCAAAAGCAAGAATTAAATTGATTACAAAGGGTTGGATGGCAACAGGTCCCAACATACAGCGTCTTGCTACACAACCCGCGGAGTACTTTTAAAGTTCCCTTCAGACAGAGACGTCAACAAGGAAACAGAGAAAACGGAGGACGTTTCCACTGGGGGACTCAAAGGATTTTGTGGACGTTTGAGCGTAATATGAATCCTTAGGGTTTTCAGGTTATCCGTCATTACGATCATGACAAAGCTCCCCGCTTCCCCAAGATTTATATTATGCGGTAACGTTCAGAAAACACGTAAGTAGTTACATACACATTAAATGATTAATACAAAATATAATTCCCCATACAAAATAATACACATACTATATTGTACCAATAAAATAGAAAAAATAATTCCCTACTGGTGGTCAGAATTGGGCAAAAGAAATGGAAATCTGTTAACATACAACTAGAATGTGACACACCTTCATAAAAATATATTGGGATACATATATCATAACATAATAGCACCAAAAATAATAATACATGGGGTTAGGTACATCATCTCATACAATAATAATAAATGGGGTTAGATACATCATATCATATAATAATAATAATAAATGGTGTTACATGTTACAAAATACACCCTCATATCGGTAGATAAAGTGCACACTCAAAATTTTCCTTACAGAACTCAAATTTCAATATTTCATAGGTAATGAAAGTTTCTCAGGACATAGCTAGGACATAGACGAACGGACCCATCAAGTCGAAGGAATGATTTGTTTGACTTCAATATAAAGAGTCATGTCGCACTCTCGAGAGGCAGCAACATTCAAGGGACTCCAAACGAGTGGGTATTCCCAAGAATCCAATGCAAACGAAACGGTCCTCATGAGAGCACAACCAAACCAAAAACTGTCTGTACTTATGGCATTTGCCATGTAGAAGTAATGGCGCCATATTCTATGCCCGAATACTTCCTGAAAGTCACGAACTCTACACCTATACACCAACAACAACCAGCCTACGTAGGACTTACCAACCAGAAATTGAGAACTCACCACTGGTATCTTTACTCCAACTAGTAACAGATACCCTTCAGATGATTGCATAACTGCCAATACATCTTCCAATCTCTGTGTCTACTGCACTTGACAATCCCATCTGAAAAAAAAAAATAAATAAAAATTCACAAACACCTACATACTCACAAACATTCCCATTACAACACATTCCACAACTCACATGGCAAACAACATACAGTACTCACTTACCAGTTGTACTTCTCAATTGCAACACAAGTATGCAAAACATCACTCTTCACCATGCACATCAACAACCAATGCCTTCCAGTCAAAGTCTACAGCCCTTTAAAGAAATCTCGGCAACACTGATGCTCGTCTCTCAACATGTTGCTAAACGAGTAAAGGTTCCTGCCACCCTTACTTGGGACAGATTAACACGACCACTTATTGAGCAGTGCCATTACATTTTGGGCTAAATACAAGGGGAAACAAACACTAAATAATCTGAATGACATCATGTTCTGCCAAAAACGCTGCGAATAGAACAGTTGCCTTCGCCGCAGCGCTCAGTGTGGCCCCATCAGGGTGAAGGTGTGTCAGGATGATTGATCAAAGGCGCCGCCGCCAGGCTGACCACAATGAGCAAACGTGCCACCTGGAGCAGAGGTGCAAGCTTTGAGGAGCTCTTCCATACCCACATGCTGTCTTGAGGTGCGGTGGTGTTTCAATGATGATGTCTCGGCACTTAAGTATTTATGGCAAACCTGATGATATGCCTTGTTCGGAGTTCCTGGTACTCAAGCTAGTCAAGAGCTAAAATGCCCTTCGATAGCCAATTTTCTTGGAAATTGGGATGAGGAGGCATAACCTGGAGATGTCAGTTGTTGAGAATATGTTAGACAATGACTCTCACAAGCATTAAATAACCTCCGTGCACCCATGTGGTATGCATAGGATTTCACTGAATATAGAGGTATTGCAGAGAACCGCTAGCTGAACACAAGTTTACTTGCACAAACATGTAATCCACATAAAAGATGTTAGTTATGTTTATTGAGTGTGTAATAACGACAGTAAATACACCAATTGCCGAAACAGACTGATGACTGCATGAATCAAAGCCTCTTTATTCATAAGCAACACCAAAGATCCTGAAAGAAGATTGCACTATGAGATTCAATACACAGACAATTTAGTCGGAGTTAATTTGTTACAGTTTGACATAACCTTGATCCAAGGTCGTAAATATAGGTGTGTATTAAGAAATATTAAGTAGATTATCTTGAATGATACCAGTTTCCGTTTTCTATGTATGAAAAGGCAGGAAACTGGTTCATGGAACACTTATCCAAAGGAAGTAAATAAACTAATTCATCATAACAAATATAATCAGACCAAATGTGAGAAGATACTCGCCTATGATATAAGGAGCCTTACATAGCGGTTGCCCGACAAAAACCTCAGAAGTGCTCGTCAGTGTGCAATCCTCCTGCTTTCACTACACGATGGTGCCAGAATGACCATATCAGTTGACCTGTCAACCTCATCTCCTTCTCTACTGCATTAGCAACGAATTATTATGTTCCTAACTTTACTTAAAATAAGGAAATCATCGAATGGTACATGAATTTAATGTCATCCTTTGGTATTGCATACTTGTGCCCTTAAATTGGAAAACATACATTACATCAGCACTGGTCAGGACGCTGCCATATGAGTGTGGACCACGGGTTCAGAGTGTTACTTTTCGTACAGGCAAAGCGGCCGTCCGCTACTGAGGTTACGAAGGAAAGGAAAATTGATTCATTACCACCAGTTTTAAGGAAACAAGTAACCAACTCAACTAAGTGCACGGTAAGTGTGATTAAGTTTACTTAATACCACGCTTGTAACACCATAAGCAACCGGCAGTGAAGTGCCACTTGTAACACTGTAAGCAACCGGCAGTGACCTGCCACTTGTAACACCATAAGCAACCGGCAGTGACCTGTTGTAACACTGTAAGCAACCTGCAGTGATCACTTGTAACACCGTAAGCAATCTGTAGTGATCCACGTGGAAATCCTTAAGCAATCGGCAGTGACCTGCCACTTATAATACCATAAGCAACCAGCAGCGAAGTGCCACTAATAACACCATAAGCAACCAGTAGTGACCTACTATTGTCAAACATAAATACAAACAGTGAGCTGCACCACCAAATACAGGCGGTGAGCAGTGGTTCATCGAACAAACTTTGAGACCTAACCGGAGCTGTAAATTAATATCAATAAAAGGACAAGAGGTTGTGGAAATGAATCCAGAGCAACGAAAGGGAAGGGTGAACATGGACGAAGGTGACCGAGACTCAGAGATAGAAGTTGTCCCTCCAGGGCTGAACGACCACGACTTTCTGGCAACAGAAGCTGAAGGGGGCCACCCTCTGCCTGCCTGAATGCTCAGCACCTGACTAAAATCCCGGGTCCAACATGATGGCAGAAGTGCGACGAACTGTGACTGAAATGCTGAAGGCGTACTTCACAAAGGGGGAAGAAAGGGAAGCAGCACGACATTTGGAGTTTGGGAATGGCAAATTTGAACAGTCAGAAAGTTCTCAGAACGATTCTGGGGACCCAAGTACTGGATGAATACCGAGTGCAGATGCTATTTGTGAAGTGGAAACAATAATAAATAGTCGACCCATCACACCTGCCTCGAGCGACGTGAGAGACCTGGAAGCGCTTACATCAGCCCACATCCTCCACGGTGGCCCACTTGCTGATCTGTCACCGGGAGGATGTCTGCTGAAGGACTCGTTTCAACAATGGTGGCGGCACATGCAGTTCCTAGCAGACAGCTTCTGGAAACGCTGGGTGAGGAGGTACCTTCCACTACTCCGCAAAAGACAGGGGTACATAGAACCAACTCGTAATCTCCAGAAAGGCGAACTTGTCCTCGTCACCAGAGAAGATCTTCCTCTCAACAAACGGCCATTGGACAGGGTCACGACAAACAACAGTCCCGGGAGCCAATGGTCTAGTGCGCCAGGTGCTTGTGCGAACTGCATCTGGGTAGTTCCGAAGGCCAGTGACCCGTGTATACCTTATTGAACATGCCACACTGTGATATCCCAAGGCCGGGAGTGTTATCCCCGCTAGCTTCAGCTACAGTGCTGGCGTGTGATGCCATTAAATCTTTCGACCTGTGACCTCGCCAGATGTAGAAGTGTTCACAGACAAGTCCTGGTTCTGCTGAGTGGACTGTCTTCGGCGGGTGGTGGTGCTGCCCGCCCCACCATGAGACAGATCACCCTCTTTAGTGATGCTGTGAAGAGCAGCCCTTTGCTCTCACTGGTGAACACCGACTCACAATCCTCTCCGAGAATTTGTTCTAGGACAATTTATGCAGTACTGTTGTCTCTTGGAACACCATACTGATCTGCATTGACCCACACTTGTAAGTACAGCCTAAGTGATGACATACCCCTCGGTACTGAAATATTGTTTACAGTGATCTCTCAGTTTACGAGCATCTCGGTTAACAAAATTTCTGTTAACGAATTGCCTTCCATAAGATCCTTAACTTCGGTTAACGAGCATTCCCTCGATTAACGAATTCCTTACGAGCGCCCCTCAACATGTTTTCGCTTCCACACTAGCTGTCGTATTAGTCCGCCAATACAGTAATCGGTTCTAGGGTTTAAATTCCTTACTATTTTAGTAAATATCAAGAAGTTTGTACTATACAATAATTTTAAAAGTCTTATATTAAAATTTTTAGTCATTTTAACAATTATTTAACAGAATTGAATACAGGGAAACTAGTTTTTAGCGCGCCAAACAGCCTGTCAACACACCATACAGGCGTCAGTCTCTGTGTCTTTTCAGTGGAGGTAACATCTTCCTTCAGACTCTCTTTAACATAAACGCTTGTTTTCTGTTTCCAGTCAAATTATTGGTCATTTTGAAATTTATTTTACATATTGACAATATATAATGCAGTGCAGTGTTGATTTAAAGAAAATAATCTTGAATTACACCAAGTGAACTAAAATTTTATGGGTGAAATGGCGCCATGGGGTGACTTCTCTTCCACCCCAATGCTTTCTCTTTTCCCTTCTCCTCCACCCCCATTCTAATTCCCATCATCATCATCGAGCCTTCTACATACACACCTCGAAGTAAGTGTACTTTTCTACTTTTTTTGTTGACTTTAGGCAATTTTCGGTGAGCTGGAACCAATTACCCAAAAACCCACTGAAACAATGGTTTCGGTTAACGAGCAACCTTCTGGAACGACTTGTGCTCATTAACTGAGGGACCACTGTACTCATTTCTGCCTTACCTGGAGTAATAAGGCAATGCGGATTGAAGTGTAACTAAGATTAATAGAGTTATGAAATTTGTGTTATGTCACTATGTTTAATAAAAAGTAATTAAGATAAAATTGTGTGAGACTAACTAATTATGCATCAGATGGATCACCATGTAATATTGTGAATGCCTTCTCCTCTGCAGGTTTTGACCACATCAATAAATATTGAATGCACCAAAAGGCGGGTTTCAATCATTCCCTTCGACTTGCTCGTCACCTGAATTTCCTTAACCAAGACGTTTACAGTGTCATCTACTATGCATCTGTGTCACCTATCAATGCCTCTGTGTCACCTACCATGCCTCTGTATCACCAACCATGCCTCTGTATCACCTACTATGCATCTATGTCACCTACCATGTCTCTGTGTCACCTACAATGCCTCTGTGTCACCTACCATGCCTCTGTATCATCTACCATGCATCTGTGTCAGCTACCATGTCTCTGTGTCACCTACCATGCATCTGTGTCACCTACCATGTCTCTGTGTCACCTATGTCACCTGCCATGCCTCTGTGTCACCTACCATGCCTCTGTGTCACCTACCATCTGTGTCACCTACCATGTCTCTGTGTCACCTGCCATGCCTCTGTGTCACCTACAATGCATCTGTGTCACCTACATCTGTGTCACCTACATCTGTGTCACCTACCATGCATCTGTCACCTACCATGTCTCTGTGTCACCTACCATGCCTCTGTGTCACCTGCCATGCCTCTGTGTCACCTACAATGCATCTGTGTCACCTACAATGCATCTGTGTCACCTACCATGCCTTTGTGTCACCTACCATGCCTCTGTATCACCTACCATGCCTCTGTATCACCTACTATGTCTTTGTGTCGCCTACCATGTCTCTGTGTCACCTACCATGTCTTTGTGTCACCTACCATGCTTTTGTGTCACCTGCCATGCCTCTGTGTTACCTACAATGCACCTGTGTCACCTACCATACCTCTGTGTCAGCTACCATGCCTCTGTATCGCCTACTATGGATCTGTGTCACATAACATGCCTCTGTGTCATGTACCATGCCTCTGTGTCACCCACCATACCTGTGTGTCAGCATCTACTGAGCAACTCCAGAACCAGTTACTTCTACTCACCAGACTCTACAGAACCAATCCTGTTAACATCTACATCATCATCACCATCTTCATCTTCGTCTCAATAAAGCCTCTGTCACTCCTACAAATGCCCATCTCTGTATGCAAGCCAGTCCCAGGTTACAATATAAGTGTTAAACTTTAGTTTGTACTTTTCTTTACTGCATTTTGTCATTCAATTTCTTCTTATCTCTTAAATTAAGTGATTCAAGATATATAAAAGGACTTGGGCTATGATATCGTGCACATAGGGTATGTGTTCCGATTTAAGAACGTCCTCAGAATCAGAACCCATTCGTAACCCCTGTAATTGGTTTATATCATTATTTATCGTTTTTATACATTTAATACATTCGCCGTAGGCTGAAGTTATTTTTACTGTATTATGCGTCTGAGGTGTCTCCGTAAGTTTATGAGCATATTAAAGTAATTAATCTCGATTTAGCAAACTAGTTCACTAAATGTTTCATAATACTCCCTTGAGATAAATGGACAGTATATATCAGGTGCCACTAAGAGAACTCAGGCTCTCAATTGACTCAGCCATGTCAATTTTGTTAATATTATCGACTCTGCATCTGTATTTTTCTGGCTAAATAAACTGTTTCAATATTGTGATGTCCGTCCTTGCTACCCGTAACATTGAGGAAAGGCAACGGTGACAAGTTAAAATAAGGAGTGAATAATCTAGTGGTTGAAATATATAGATGCAGCAAGTATGGAGCACTCACACAAGAATCACTGTTATCATGACACAAATTTAACTTTAAAAAAGGATAAGAAGATTATTAAGTAAAATGAGTCATTTAATAACATTTATATTAAGTTTTGATTAATATGGTTCATCAGGTACATTACATAACACAATTAAAACACAAATATGCCATTATCAAATCTTTACACCAGAATATTACCTGATTATTCTTACTTTAAACATTAAATGCACATACTATATACAACAAAAAACCCTGATAGAAATGGCAGCTCAGGTGGCAGGTCTAGGTTGCGATGGCCAACCACAAGGAACCAGGGATTACCACCATGGTTCACTACCATAAAAATATAACAATAATACCTGCAGTAGTCCTTAATACAATTTGTTGTCCACACCCCGGGAGAAGAGGAACAACGTAGACCATAGAGAAGAGACTCGGCTTACCAGGCAGACACACTTGCCTTGATACCTCGGTCTCATAGTCGGATGGGAAACTGGTTCTGATCGGTGCTCATTGGGGTTGAGTAGCTTCATGAAGCAGTTTCTTCTCCTGGTGTTAAGTTGGAGCAAGTGGTGGTTATGGTGCTAGAGTGAGGAGGGGACAGAGTCATCACATCTCCACCCGCTGAAGTCGGAGCTTCTTGGGAAGACTCGGCAGTGAAAATGAAGATGATGTCCAGATGAGAGACAATGAGCTGGTTTTGGTTAATGCGTCGGCTAACAAGTTATCCTTCCCTTTGATGTACCGTATTGTGATGTCGTAAGTTTGCAGACATAAGGACCAACGGAGCAAACACTGGTTTGAAAACTTGTTCCGATCCAAGAAAGTCAAAGGGTCGAGTGCCATATAGATAGCACTCAAACTTTTTTTATTGCAGAGATGAGGCCGAGTAGTTCCTTTTCACTGGTACTGTATGACAGTTGGTGTTTGTTGGGTTTTCAGAGTGATAGGCAATAGGATGCAGGACCTCTTTATCATTATCCTGCAGTAGAATGGCCCCTGTAGCATGGTCACTGGCGTTGGTTTGTAGGATGAAGGGAAGATCAAAGTTAGGGGACGTCAGTACAGGATCAGTGGCCAAGAACTGCTTCAGTTGTTCAAAGGAGTCCTGGCAGACAAAAGTCCAGCAGAAGGAGACTTTCCTACTGGTGAGATGAGTCAAAGGGGCAGCGACAGCAGAGGAGTCAGGTCAGTAGCACGGCAAAACCCCACCATGCCCAGGAAATGCATGAGAGCCTTTAGAGTTGTAGTGTAAGGGCGCGTGTTTTCCAACACCTACACCACCCTTATCTTTCTTACTTCTCTTGCTTTAGTTCTTACTCAGGTCTGTCACATATTCTTTTGATAGCATGGTCGAGGGTCTAGGCACATGGGTATGGTAATTCTGGTATCAAGTCACTTGGACGGAAATAAAGGTAAAATACTGTGAGAGAAATTAATACACCTAAAATACTTGGGTGTGTGGGCTGCAGACAGGATTCATGGTAACTTCAGAAGTGGGCCGCAATTGAAAGACTTCGAGGGCCACATGCGTCCCTCGGGCTGCAGTTTGCACAGCCCTGCCTTTGAGGTCTTGCAAGAGGTAATTCATAAGTCTTTGGAAGGTGGCTGGACTATTCCTCATCCCAAAAGGCATAACTAGATACTGAAATAGACCAAAAGGAGTTATGGATGCCGAGATTGACTGGGCTCTTTCAGAGAGTCTTACTTAATAGTGACCTTTAAGTAAATCTTGTTTTGAAATGAATTTAAATTGACCAACTGAATCCATTAAATTGTCTATTCTTGGTATGGGATAGGAATCTGGAACGGTCACTTGAGCTACCTACCTTCCTTGAACACAAGAAGGCTAGAAGAAGCCCAGGGGGAGCTGCTTGGAACTCCCAGGCCATTCTTCAGCAAGTAGTTCATCTCGTTGAAGAAGCCGCAAATCCAGAAACTTTTTCAGAGTGAGAGTTGTGAACTTGTGGAACAACCTGCCAGAAAGCGCTGTGATGGCACGAATGTGAGCTCATTCAAGGCCAGCGCGTAACAGAGACCTGACTGACTGCCCAAGTGGGTAACGAGCCGATCAGTGGTGAAGAGGATAAAGGTAAGTAAAAGTAATGTAACCTAAAGTTAACCTAACCTAAAGTTAACCTAACCTAAAGTTAACCTAATCTAACCTAAAGTTAACCTAACCCAATCTAAAGTTTACCTAACCTAAAGTTCACCTAACCTAACCTAAAGTTCACCTAACCTAACCCCCCAGGTAGCATAACAATGTTTAATTCTTAGATCCAATAAGCTGTATTATACTAACACAAGACAATACAGCTTACAAAGAGGAGACCTCATTGACCTTTCCTTGTTTATAAAGTACTGTACTATATTATTTGTTATTGTTTATATTATATTAATTTCTTATTGCTTGTTTGTTTATTGTTTATCCTATATTACCCTTTATTATCGCTTAATACATTGTTAAACTTATTATCCACGTCTAACATTGGTCATGAGTTTGCAGCTGGAACAGAAAGTGACTGAGTGAAATATCTGGACGTGTGGTAATTCAACAGTGTGTGAGCGCCTCCATGAAGGTGCCCGGCGCTGCTGGACAACAGCTGGAAACTGTTCAGGTGGGTTAACTGTGTACCAATGTTTCCTCTTTTTTTTTACGGGGATTAGCCCACTCTGGCACAGGTCAACGACCCACAACGGGGTCTGGGAGGCAAAACCAAAAAAAGAATCTAGAAATTAAAAATAGAGAAGAAAAGGGTTATACTGTGTTAATCTACACCACGAAGATGCCGGAAAACCAGCTTTTTAAAGTGAGATATTGTATGAGTATGGAGACACACAAGAAGGCAGAGCATTCTGCAGTTTGGCTGTGTGAGGAAAGAAGGATGTACTATAATGGGTTATTATAGTGTGACCGACATCCACAGAGAAACGGTGGCCACCGAGTGCAAGATGAGTGTTACGAGCCCATGGCCTTGCCTGCGGTACACAGGATGCCAAATCCACCGAACATTGCCCGTTAAAGTAAATGTGAAAGAGAGAGAGTGAAGCAACATTGCAGCGAAGAGAAAGGGAAGAAAGATTATTAACCTTTTTTTTTTTTTTTCATTTATTGGGCACCCCCCCTACATCCTTGTGTAAGGTGAAGCGCAGAAGCGTTTACAGCGCCCAACAGGGAAGCATGCTAAGTTCGTGCTTGCCTTATGTCTCATGAGTTAAGGACGTAGAAGCCTGAAAAGTCGAGGACGTAGAAGCCTGAAGAGTCAATGGTTTATGTCTAAGCAAGTTATTGGAAGTTCCAACAACTTGTCCCTGAATATGAATTCGCAACTTTCAACTTACAGCAGGTACCTACTTTGCTGCTAGGTGAAAGGGACGAAGGGGACGAGGAAAAGTGTCGAAACAACGTCCGCCGGCCCGGGAATCGAACCCGTGACATCTTGCTTGCGAGGCAAGAATGGTACCGCTCTACCACCAGCTCCAGATTATTAACTAAAGGAGGAGAGTAAATAAGACGAAATGCCTTTGATTCCACTCTATCTAACAGTTGGACAGAAGAAGAGCCACCCCAGATATGAGAGCAGTACTCCAAGTTAGGACGAATGAATCCCTTATATACCTGGAGCAACTGCTCAGGAGTGAAGTAGCTACGGCATCTGTACAGCATTCCCAACTTTCGGGAGGCAGCTCTAGCAATGTTGAGGATGTGTGGCTTCCATGACATATTAGAGGAAATGGTGAAGCCTAGCATATCTATTTTAGAATTTGGCAGAATGATAGCGTCCTGAAATGTGATAGGTGGGAGATCATCTAATTTGGAAAGTGTAATTGGTAAATACTGAGTTTAATTACTGTTGAATTTAACCAAGTTCTACCTCCCCATTCGGAGATGATGCACAGATCCGCATTAATAGATGAAACAATATCAGCTATAGAAACAGATCTAGTTTGAGAATTATGGGAAGGGGAAAATGTGAAGAAAAGTGAAGAGTAGAATCATCAGCATATGAATGGATAGAATTAGTTGTAGTGTGAAGTAAATCATTGATAAAAAGAAGGAAGAGAGTAGGTGAAAGAACAGAACCCTGTGGGACACCACTACTGGTAGAGAAAGAGCTAGAGATCGATCCTTCAACAACAGCTGCTATGGATCGGTTCTCAAGGAAGCTAGAGATTAGAAAACAAAGTGGGGGAGAGAAACCATAAGAGGGAAGTTTAGAAAACAAAGACTTGTGCCATACCCTAACAAATGCTTTGGAGATGTTGAGGGCTGCGACGGAAGTTTCCCCATAATCCCTAAGAGAGGATAACCAAAGATGGGTGCAGTAGGAGAGCAGATCACCAGTAGATCTCGCCTGGCGAAAGCCATACTGGTGATCCGACAAAAGAGAATGGCGTTCAAGGTGACGGAGTAAATGAGAGTTCAAGATAGTTTAAAAAATCTTAAAGAGGGATGAAGTTAGGGCAATGGGGCGATAGTTAGAGGGATTAGAATGGTCACCCTTCTTTGGGATGGGCTGAACCGTGGCATGATTCCAAGAAGAAGGAAAACTTTGGGTTTGAGGCAAAGGCGAAAGAAGCGAGCAAGCACGGGCCAGAGCTTCAGCACATTCCCTCAGAACACGAGCAGGTATTCTGTCTGGTCCATGCGCCTTACTCACATCTAACCTGGATAACACATTTGCAATCCTCCTAGTGGAGATTATAGGTAAGTGCATAGGTTCAGTAGGAGAAGCAGGAGTAGGAGGGATAGAGTGGGAATCGTCTAAGGTGGAGCTAGAGGAAAATAAGGTGCCAAAGAGATAGGCTTTGTCAGGGGGAGAGTTGGCTATAGAGTTATCAGATCGGAAGAGAAGAGGAAAATAAGGAGTGCGGAAGTTATTTCAGATGTTTTTGGTTAAGGAAGAGAAGGACACATGGTAGGTGACACAGAGGTATGGTAGGTGACACAGAGGTATGGTAGGTGACAGAGAGGTATGGTATGTGACACAGGTATGGTGGTGACACAGAGATATGGTAGGTGACACAGAGGTATGGTAGGTGACATAGGCATGGTATATGACAGAGGTATGGTAGGTGACACAGAGGTATGGTAGGTGACACAGAGGTATGATAGGTGACACAGAGGCATGGTAGGTGACATAGAGGTATGGTAGGTGACAGAGGCATGGTAGGTGACACAGAGGCATGGTAGGTGACACAGGCATGGGGAGGTGACACAAAGGCATGGTAGGTGACACAGGCATGGTAGGTGACATGAGGTATGGTAGGTGACAGAGGTATGGTAGGTGACAGATGCATGGTAGGTGACAGATGCATGGTAGGTGACACAGAGGCATGGTAGGTGACACAGAGGCATGATAGGTGACAGATGCATGGTAGGCGACACAGGCATGATAGGTGACACAGAGGAATGGTAGGTGACACAGAGGCATGATAGGTGACACAGATGCATTGTAGGTGACACAGAGGTATGGTAGGTGACACAGAGGTATGGTAGGTGACACAGGTATGGTAGGTGACACAGAGGCATGGTAGGTGACAAGTGAATAGGTGACACAAGGTATGGTCGGTGACACAGAGTCATGGTGGTGACAGCCATGGTAGGTGACACAGAGGTATGGTAGGTGACACAGCGGCATGGTAGGTGACACAGACATGGTAGGTGTTGACACAGGTATGGTGGTGACACAGAGGCATGGTGGGTGACACAGAGGTATGGTAAGTGACACAGAGCATGGTAGGTGACACAGTGTTATGGTAGGTGACACAAGGAGGCATGGTAGGTGACACAGGCATGGTAGGTGACACAGAGGTATGGTAGGTGACACAGGCATGGTAGGTGACACAGAGGCATGGTAGGTGACACAGAGGCATGGTAGGTGACACAGGCATGGTAGGTGACACAGAGGCATGGTAGATGACACAGAGGTATGGTAGGTGACACAGAGGTATGGTAGGTGACACAGTGCATGGTAGGTGACATAGGTATGGTTGGTGACACAGAGGCATGGTAGGTGACACAGTGGTATGGTAGGCGACACAGATGTATAGTAGGTGACACAGGCATCTTAGGTGACACAGGCATGGTAGGTGACACAGAGGCATGGTAGATAACACAGAAGCATATTAGGTGACACAGTGGTATGGTAGGTGACAGAGAAGTATGGTTGGTGACACAGAGGTATGGTAAGTGACACAGTGGAATGGTAGGTGACTCAGAGGCATGGTAGGTAACACAGAGGCATGGTAGGTGACACAGTGGAATGGTAGGTAATACAGAGGCATGGTTGGTGACACAGAGGAATGGTAGGTGACACAGAGGTATGGTAGGTGACACAGGCATGGTAGTTGACACAAAGGCATGGTAGGCGACACAGGCATGGTAGGTGACACAGAAGCATTTTAGGTGACACACAGGCATGGTAGATGACAGTGGAATGGTAGCTGACACAGAGGTATGGTAGGTGACACAGAGGTATGGTAGGTGACATAGAGGTATGGTTGGTGATACAGAGGCATGGTAGGTGACACAGAAGCATGTTAGGTGACACAGTGGTATGGTAGGTGACACAGGCATGGTAGGTGACACAGTGGAATGGTAGGTGACACAGGCATGGTAGGTGACACAGAGATATGGTAGGTGACGCAGAGGCATGGTAGGTGACACAGAGGTATGGTAAGTGACACAGAGGTATGGTAGGTGACACTGAGGCATGGTAGGTGACACAGAGGCATGGTAGGTGGCACAGAGGCATGGTAGGTGATGCAGAGGTATGATAGGTGACACAGAGGTATGGTAGGTGACACAGAGGCTTGGTAGGTGACACACAGGCATGGTAGGTGACTCAGAGGCATGGTAGGTGACACAGAGGTATGGTATGTGACACAGAGGCATGGTAGGCACACAGAGACATGCAGGCAACACAGAGACATGAACACAGAGACATGGTAGGTGACACAGAGACATGGTAGGTAACACAGAGACATGGTGAGATGAGACACAGAGGCATGGGTAGGTGACACAGTGGAATGGTAGGTGACGCAGAGGCATGGTAGTACACAGGTATGGGTAGGTGACACAGAGGTATGGTAGGTATCACAGAGGCATGGTAGGTGACACAGTGGAATGGTAGGTGACACAGGTGCATGGTAGGTGACACAGAGGTATGGTAGTTGACATAGAGGTATGGTAGGTAACAGAGGCATGGTGGTGACACAGTGGGTAGGTGACATAGAGTATGGTTGGTACACAGGCATGGTAGGTGACACAGCCATGGTAGGTGACACAGAGGAATGGTAGGTGACACAGAGGTATGGTAGGTGACAAAGAGGCATGGTAGGTGACACAGTAGATGGGTGACACAACGGTATGGTCGGTGACACACAGGCATGGTGAGGTGACACAGCCATGGTAGGTGACACAGAGGTATGGTAGGTGACACAGTGGCATGGTGGGTGACACAGGCATGGTAGGTGACACAGAGGCATGGTAGGTGACACAGAGGCATGGTAGGTGACACAGAGGCATGGTAGGTGACACAGAGGCATGGTAGGTGACACAGAGGCATGGTAGGTGACACAGAGGCATGGTAGGTGACACAGAGGCATGGTAGGTAACACAGAGGCATGGTAGGTGACACAGAGGCATGGTAGGTGACACAGAGGCATGGTAGGTGACACAGAAGTATGGTAGGTGACACAGAGGCATGGTAGGTGACATAGAGGTATGGTTGGTGACACAGAGGCATGGTAGGTGACACAGTGGTATGGTAGGCGACACAGATGTATTGTAGGTGACACAGGTATCTTAGGTGACACAGGCATGGTAGGTGACACAGAGGCATGGTAGATAACACAGAAGCATATTAGGTGACACAGTGGTATGGTAGGTGACACAGAGGTATGGTTGGTGACACAGAGGTATGGTAAGTGACACAGTGGAATGGTAGGTGACTCAGAGGCATGGTAGGTAACACAGAGGCATGGTAGGTGACACAGTGGAATGGTAGGTTATACAGAGGCATGGTTGGTGACACAAAGGTATGGTAGGTGACATAGAGGTATGGTTGGTGACACAGAGGCATGGTAGGTGACACAGTGGTATTGTAGGTGACACAGAGCATTGGATTCCTCGCCTGTCCTAACACTATATTTATACTCTGTTTGTTCATTTGAGGGATAACAAGCATTGCATTGACTGGGATAATGCCTCCTCAATATTACCTTGTAATTCAATTGATAGTAGGAACATCATAGAATGTAGTCTCATTAAACATACCGAAGCAGTCAGCATGAATTTGAGTAATGGTATGTACAAACTGGACAATTTTGTAATTAAGAAGATTTGTAACCAGGTGAGAAGGTTGGGTCACCTTACCCTCTGACCTGACTACCGACCGTTGCGGTGGACCTGGTCTCACCCTCCTCTGTATATATACACCTTGTTTTGTACTTCCCTTTAGTCTGTACTCACCCCTGAAGATGTGAATTGCACGAAAGCGCTTGGGAACTTCGTGTTTTATTCTTTCCTTGTGGTTATCAGCATATACCTAGATCACGCGCACCTACAGTGATTTACTTGCATGTATATATATATATATATATATATATATATATATATATATATATATATATATATATATATATACCATATGTACATTTGATGGTCCTATTGTGCTAGACTACCCTGTCTGGGTCCAGCAGCCCTGGGATTCAGTGAGTTTGAGGATTAAGTTATAGGGTGAGTGTAGGAGACTGATGACACACTGAAAGATTGTCAAAGTTAGTGAAATAAGTTAGCATATTGGTAGTAAAGAACTGACAAATTTTAGTATACAGGTGTTAGGTGTCCTTCCTCACTATATGAATGTTCCAGATACAAAAATTTTCTCTCATGAGTTTCCTAAATTACCACCTCATTTTCGTGTTATAAAAGCTTTCCCCACTTTTACAAAACTGGTTCCCGAGAAAAATTCAAATCTCGCGCCCCAGGAATCAGCTGTGGCAGCCACATCCCCCTAACCCTCTCCCTAACAGGCTGAAGTGTGAGCTATGTTATGGTAATTTTTCTACTCATAATTTCAGGTATATATACATAACTTTTTTATTTATTTACATGCACACACACAATCCTACATACAGAATGTGAAAAAAAAGGTTTTCATAAAGTAAAAAACTTAAAGGGAATAAACAGTTTTATGTGTGCCAGCAAAGGTTAGCAGGATGAGCTGGGGGGTTATGTTAGGTTTATTATTAAATCCGTAATTTCACTTTTTTATATACAGTACTCCGTAACATGCACACACAATCTTACATTGGTACACTCACTACAAAAAAGTATTTGTAAAATATTTTGCTAGACAATATGAAACATGGACGAAGGATTTTGACAACCCTACCCAGACAACAGGAGTCACAGTGATCATTTGACATCCATTGTACCCCACGTGGTGGATACTTCCTGTAGCGAGTGTTCATATTTTCCTCTAGATAGTATTTTATTAATGTTTTTAATGTGTTAGGTACAGTAGTTGTGTACTATTTATCATTAGTTAGGTTTTTCGTGTTTGTGAACTAATTTTGTGTTTTGGGGGTAATTTTATCATTGTGGAACTGAACCTATTTTTTTGCATTTGTTCTTTATTCGAGATACAAAAATTCACTTAATGATTGGTCTTTGGAACCGAACCCATTCGTATAGCTGAGATATTGTAATAATAATAATAATAATAATAATAATAATAATAATAATAATAATAATGATAATAATTCTTCCTGCAGATTGGCCGAGGTATTGTAGTGTTTGTGTGTCTCCTCTGCAAGGTGTCAGAGAAATCTGTCAAGAAACTGGTCAAGCACATAGCCAATGCATGACTGAGCCAGGATGACACTGGCAGAAAAGTATCTGCGTGTGATATACAAGGGCACACGCTCATTATACCTCAATCCATATTGGGCGGGTAAATGAAGAATAAAGCAATGCAGTACCACATGAATGTTGGCAAGGCGCTCGGGGAAGCTCTCTACCACAAGCTCTGCCAGGGAGTACGAACTGCCATGGAAGGTGTGTCCAGCGGCAATGTAAAGTGTGGAGTCTATGGAGCTCGAGAGATCTTGAGCATGGAGAGAAATGGACCTTATACCCATATAATAGAAGTGTGAGTCAAAGTACAGTAATATCTCCGTTAGCCGTAATGCCTCAAACCCGGAAATCTCAAATAGCGGGAATTAAAATTTGCTCGGAAAATCATTCCCAAAGCTGGAATTTTCCCAAAATTTCCAGCGTTAGGAACAAATTTTCCAAGGTTGAAAATCGAGAGAATTTTCTGAAAATGTTCTGAATAAAGATGAAAGTTAAAGTATTTTGGGGGGAACTTGACCTGACCTGACTCAATGTCAGGTGGAGGTAGGGTGGGGGATTAGTGGTCTCATATTACTGACCTGATGGAATGTCAGGTCACCCTTTCCTGGGTGGGGGGTTAGTGGGTTTCATGACCTGAAGATGTCTTGAATAAACACGAAACCGAAAATGTATTTTAGGGAGATTGTTATAATTACACCTAGACCCCGACTTACGACGGGGTTAGGGACCCAAATCCAGGTCGTAAGTCCGACATGGTCGTAAGTCCGACATAGATAAAAAAAAAAAAAAAAATTAATAAAAAATCTACAATGAAATACAGTACAGTAAAAGTAATGAATAATGATGAATGGATACAGTACAGTGAAAGTAATAAATAATAAGGAATGGATACAGTGTGACTGAGCACTTAACCTTTAATGTAGTCAGCTGAATGCACATGGGGCCCCATAATTTTCTAATTATACATGGAGACTACATTAACTGGAAACGTTTCGGTATAGAAAATGCGTGTGTCATTTAAAAAAAAAAAAAAAATTTCTTTATCTATATCTGAGGTGGTCGTAAGTCCCGACGGTCGTAAGTCCACGTAGTCGTAAGTCGGGGTCTAGGTGTATATGTATAAATGAGCAAAGTTGTATCCCTTCATCATTACATTACATAACATTTTAAAATATGGAGTGAGAAAGGTGTGGGTGATGGAGTGGAAAGGAGTGGTAACATGCACCAGTGTTGCCAAGCAATAAGCTCTTCAACAGCTGATCTTTTAATTCACCTCCATGCAGTCACACAACAAGACCCTCACTGGATGTTTGTTGTCGTAATCCGTGTGTGTGTGTGTGTCGCGCGTGCGTGTGTGTGTTTTTTTTTTAAGAGTTTGTTCAGGTGGTGAGGTAACATGCCAAGACACTAACCACCCCGTTAAGTACTGTACTGAGGTGTCCCTCAAGACTCATTTAGTTTAAAACTCGGGTTGAAACAAGACGACCCTCTTCAAGGGAAGATGTTGCTTAATAGTACGGGCATATCACAGCACACACATTAACAGCACTACTAAACCATTGTCTTATAACATTTTACATTATAATTTCTATTTTAAAATTAATTGATACATGATAGCTTGGCAGGACTACTTTTGTACCTAGACAACTGGTCAATGAATAAACCAGGGCATATGGAGACTCATTATACATTAATGATGTCACAAAGCTTTGAAACTGCAACCACATAAATTATCACAACCTGTACTTGCCAACAGTGCGTAACAGGGACTTAACCACTAGCGCACCCAAGGGGTGGGCCCATGAGGCCCGGGGTTCCCCCCCCCCCTTAAGCCCACGGTTCCTTAACCGTCTGTGGTCAGATGCTGGAATCCTACATGTCACCCCCTGGTCAGGCAAAAGTGAATTTTTTCTGCCTAATAGGTCCCATTTGGTCCCGATCGGAGTTAGTCTCCGATCTGTATACTCAAAACAAATATTTGGCAGTGGACTCCGTAAGCGAGTCTGTATCCAAGGCCATAACTTATAGGATCTCCTTAGGTGCTGTAACACCCTCATCCTAGGGATGTGGTGCTGACCGGTGTGAGTAGCTCTCGGGCGTTTGACCCAGACGGACGTTTGCGCGTTCTGCCAAGGAAAACGACCACGTGGCCTTGTGCCTTCCCTCCGCACATTTCATCAGTGTTGCAAGTAAACTTTTTATTCGATCTCAGACAGTGCTTAGATAGGGCGGAGAAGAATTTAACAATAGCTAACAGAGTGCTCCTTTTGCAGGGTTACGAGAACCCACTTGGTCTGTGTTTATTGGTCGGTTTGGAAGATATAGCTGGCAACGCACGAGGCGAACAGGTGTCTCTGACGACTAACTACGTGGGACCAGCAGCCGCACTTTGGTCGGTGGTCGATCTGGTTCATCAAATCTCCCCACCTTGGTTCATACAACACCACATCTCTTCAGTCAGTCAGTGAAAAATCTTACTAACGGGAAAGTAGAACCCCTCCCTAGCTGGGCAGGGTTCACCTGGTTGTACTCTGAGCTGGCCTAACTAGGCGGGCTGACGATCACTCTCTTCCTGTCCATAAAGTACCGGGAGTAAACTGAGTGCAGACTGAGTGAATGAAAGGTCACACGCAGGGACCAGGAGTCTAGTGGTTACATAGAGACGTTCATCTCCCCGGTATTGGGTGTATATGATTGATATAACCAAGTCCAGGTGTGTAATCAACGCTCCTCATGGTTGATTGCACACGTGGGATTGCTGGTTCGGGATTTTCTTTGAGGGGCGCTTCCACTGCATTACCATCCACTATAACTAAAAAAAAAAACAATAACTAATAGTGAGATTATTCCGACCGGTTACAATTGGTAGCAGAGCGTAGGTTATTCGTGACTGATAGTTCTGTGGTTGGGATAATAAACGAAATCATGGATGGCTAGAAATGGTAGAGTGTGTGACCCCAGTTCTACTCATGATCGCCGCGGGGATGGGCTGTTTGTGGTTGACGGTACGGCTGTACCTGGAGAGAGGGAGAGACAGCCGGGGCTTAGTACAGCTGAGGGAGGAGTTCGTGGAAGTAAGGGGGGAGTATCGGGAAAACATTGAACAGTTCAAGGGAGAGTGTCAGACGGGTGAACAAGATCAGGGGGGAGTATCAGACACAATTGCAGGAGTTAAGGGGAGTATCAGACCCAAGTGGAAAAGTCAGAAGGGGAACATCGACAACACCTAGCTCAGTTGGGGGATGCGCTAGACAGGGTAGAGACACAGTGTCAAACACAGCATGAAGAGCCGATGTGTGAGATAAAGAAGTACAATACTAGAGCGGGAGTTAGTTTTGGTTCCGGGTTGACCATGTCTAAGTTAGACGGTAGGACAGGGTCAGAGATAGACGGAGACGAAGCCGGCCGAATACAATTCATAGTAAAGCATCTTGTGGGGCCTGTAGCAGATCGTGTATACAGTGCACTCAGAGATTGGGAAACGGTAGACGAGTTAACTAACTATTTGAAGCAGCATTTCGGCGAACACATGGACGCAATCACTCGGAAACAAGGGAGCAACGAAACTCTCCTTGAATATTACGATGCAATGCTCGAATTAAATGACGAATTAGGCCACAATAGACAGAAATATGATGATGTCATGTTGGGAGGTGCTATCATTCGGGGACTAAAGGGGTCAAGAAGTCGTGAGTGGTTAGCGGGGGAGATCAAGAAGAGTCCCCAATGCAGTCTAGATGAATGGATCATGGGGCTGAAAGAGGAGGAACACAGACTAGAGTCCTTGAGTGAAGAAGCACTGAACGGTGGACACTGAGAGGCGCCTGCCGGACCACCCAGGGTTAACGGAGGAGAAAACGGTGCGTAGGCTGGGGGCCCAAACCCACCGAGATGCTATGCATGCGGACAGGAGGGACACCTCAGCTTCCACTGCATGAGCAGGTATGGACCAGGAGAAAATGTCCTAAGGGGATACGTGGCCAATGGCCAGTATCGGACTGGAGGTGACAGAACTAGCCGTCGGGAAACGGCCAGGGCCAGGTAGTCCCCACCAACTGCCCAGGTAGTCCCCACCAACTGCCCATGGCCCAACCAATAGACTACTCTGGCGATGTTATGAACCAAGAGAGAGAGGACCCATGGTCAGTATGACCAATTTAATCACGACAGAAGGTATCTTGAAGCTGAAAGCAGTCTCCCAAGTTCTCGGTGCTGGTAGCAGGTCGTGAAATGTGGAGTCTAGCAGATATTGGGGCAGAAGTGTCGTTAATTGATGAGAACTTCTACTGTAGAGAGCTGGAGCCTGCAGGTGTGGTGTTACAGCCCACTCGGGTACGGGTAAGAGGGGCGTCAGGGTCCTCCGTACCGTGTGTTGGGTGTAATCGGGTCACTATGGTCGTATGTGGGGTGAAAGTTACAGATGTGGGGCTGCTGGTTTGTCCAGGGATTGAGACCCGGGGTAAGGGTCAGTCGCATGTTGGGTTGTTGGGCATGAATGTGTTGGGTGAGATCGCAGAGATCTAGCCGCACAAGTACCACTTGTGCAGGAAAGCCAGAAGCACCGCCCAGTGGGAAGATTGCCTGAATGAGGTTAGACAGATATGTCCGGCAGAGTCCACCAGTCTGGGGTATTGTACAACGGAGAGAAGGAAAAAACCAACCATCCCTCCCCGGAGTAGTCAGTTGCCTGAAGGCGTGATAGTGTTGCCGACAGCCGTGAGAGTGGTGAGAGGCATGACCCAGGTGTTAGTGGGAAATCTGTCTGAGCGTCGTAGGAAATTGAGGAGCAATTGGCGGATTGGGAAGGTGGCTTCCGGGATGGAAGTCGAGGCAGCCACCAGTGAGGAGGTGTATGTGAGGACAGTCCAACAGGATGCCCGGACTGAGGTCAAAGTACACACTGAGAACATGAATGAGGAACAAGAGCGTAAAGTTAGGGGTTTAGTAGATGAGTTTAGCGATATTTTTGAAGGAGAGGGCCAGCCCATAGGAACGGCCATTGGGGTTCAGCATGAGATCCCAGTGACAACAGACAGGCCAGTTTGGGTGCCATACCGGAGGATCCCTCCAAACCAAGTGCCAGAGGTGAAGCAACACATTAGCCAGTTGTTAGATCAGGGAGTAATCCATCATAGTGAGAGTCCGTACTCTGCCGCCATTGTAGTAGTGAGGAAAAAGGTTGTTACATATATGACAGTTTCACAAGTAGCTGTCATATTCACGGTAACAATCACCTCAACAGACACACACTTGGTAAAGGTAGAGATATTATGTTCTCCCCATATTTTTTTTAATTAAT